GATGAAAGTATCATCTCTTTTGCCAGTGGTGGCGGGGGAGATACAATTGACCTTTGCTCGCTTTCTACTCTCTATATACAATTTTCACACTGCCGTACTCTAACGAAACTATGAACTCTATACTTTCATCTCATCTATTCTATAAAATGACCGCTTTAAGTCTGATATATGACGCTAAGCATCTCCAACTATGTAAATCTTTAACTTCACGCATGGAGTAATACAAACATGATTAGTTAAAGTCCGTATTATCGATTTGTGCACGTCGTAATCATTGACATTTTTTTATGTTTTCTACTCGATAAGAACTAGGCGATTACGACAAAGTAGCGCTCTACCCTATAGTAGTAGCGAGATAGAAGGTAGAATACGCTGAGACTATAGAGGGTAGCTACTTCGTTAGCAGCCAGTGATGGAGATGATGCCGATGATGATATAATCATGGTAATGAATTGCAACATTCCCGCCTTCAAAGCAAAAGGTTATTTAATGTTTATTTTACGACGAAGCTCATTACGATCAGAAGGCTCAACTTTTTGACGACGATATTTGCTCAAATTTGATTGAAATCCATATAATTTTAGAAAATCCTAAGACGTGTGGAGATTATTAATTTAACACACATATTATGAATATTATAAAACTGATTGCTTGAAACAGTTGAAAAAGTATTCTCTTACTAACAGAACATATAAATTCATATAATGGAAGGCTGAGAAAGTTCTCAATTTATAACTGCTAAAAATCGTTTAGTGCAACAATTTGTCAAACGAGCATGTGCCTGGAAAAAGTCATGTGTTGGAGAACAGGAAGTGAAAAGGTCTGGGGCAGAGAATTTCAGTAGCTGAATTTAGTGGAAAACCTGGAATCTTCAAGGAATTTTATTTTACCTGGATTAGCCTGGAATACTCAGGTTATTTTCAAATTCCAAGCAAATTTGTGTTATTGTTATTAAAGTTATTTTGGTATAGTTATTAAAGTTCGCCAGAGAACTTTCTCAGGAATGTTAAAACATTGTATGACACAGCCAACTTTATCCTCATAATTAGATATTTTTACTCTTTGGATATAAAGATTCGGAATGGATTTATCATCAGTAACAACATGAATTCTTAGACTTGAATTGTGTTTTTTAAGGTTCTTATGATTTTTTTTTATAATTTTGGACATAATTAAATCAAAATTCAAGACTACGAATAAATTCCCAAAACAGATTTCAAGGGCCTTGTAAAAGTTTCACAGCCTATGAACTTTAATGAATAAATTTGATAAGAATTTCAAAGGATCTCTAGGAACAATTTTAAAGAAATTCTGAAGAAAATATCAAAGGATAAACTTGATAAGAATTCCAAGGTATTTCTAAAAGAATTCAAAGAGCGAGAACTAAAAGTAAATTCTAAGAAGAGCCCCAAGGTACTTGTCAAAGGAAATTCTGACAATAATTCCATGAACACTCTGACAATAATTCCAAAAGGGGCCCATCATAAACTAAGTAGACCGATTTTGAAAGGTTTTCCCCACGTCGAAAATGATACATCCATTTTTTTTAATTTGTTAGGACCATAGACACTCGCCAACTCCACCATCTAAAACGTCTACGTAGTTTATGAACAGCCTCAAGGTATTCTTAGGAGTATTTAATAAAAGTTTCAAGGAAATTTCCATAAGGAATTCTGAGGACCATTTCAAGGAATTGACGGTACCAATCAATATATTCCACACCTGGTGTAGTAAAAGTGTACTACAACTGAACGTAAAAAAATGTACCGCAATAGCATTTAGCAGAAAAATTGAAACACCGCATATTGAAATATCATTAGGCAACCAAATAGTAGAAAAACGCAAAATTGTAAGAGATCTAGGTGTAATCCTAGACTTCCGAGGTATAATCCTAACTTTTATAGAACATTATAATACTATCATTAGTAAAGCAAACAGAATGCTAGGCTTCATTAAAAGGTTCAGTCATAATAAGACCCATACACTATTAAGCTATTATATACCACATATGTAAGGACAATTCTGGAATACTGTCACCTAGTATGGAATCCATACATTTCCATACTTTATATGGTTTGCCATATATCGTGAAGTTTACGATTTTCAGAGATGTGAGTCGCCCTTCGCTCAATTTCACCTTCTAATGAATTTTCACACTGTCGTACTCTGTAGCGGAACTATCAAGCTATCCTCTTCAGAACTTTCTCTAACTAATAAATTATCGCACTGAAGCTTCATGTTGATATTAGTATAGCATTCCCTCCCAACTCTGCTTATAACACTTTACAGGCCCTTACACTAAGCATGTCAACAATGTTGATCAGTTTTCATAATACATTTATTGGTTTTTTGTTTATTAGTGTTCTGCTCTTCAACACAACAAAGAGTATTTAACTGTTCTTTTCATATGAAATGTTAAAAAAATGTGAATATTACTATAAAGAATTATCACGGAATTCTCTTTAAACTTACGAGAAAATTATGTTGGAACTTTACTCAGAATTCTCTTTGGAATGCTCCTGAAACGATCCTAAGAATTTCCTTGGAAGCCTTCATAAAATTCATAAGTAATGAGAAATAATTCCCTATGAAATTCTTCTCAACATTTGCTTTGAGCTTTGACTCATCACAAATTCTTCGAAATTCTCATCAGAAATCCGTTGGAATCCTTTGCAGAATTTTCCTTAAACTTTATGGTCTGGAAGCATTGTGTGTTTTTTACTAATGCATTAGAAAGGTTACATTCTTATCCAATTTATTTTCAGATTTACCCTCAGAATACGATTCCTTTGTTATATTTTTCGGAATTTGTTTGAATTTCTTTTCTGAAACTTCATCAGTATTCCATTGAAAATGTCCTCAGAACACCCGTTTAATTCTCCTTATTATTCTTTTTGAACTTTCTGCTGAATTCTCTTGAAATTCTATTTAAAATTATCCTGCTATTCTTCTCACGATTCTCATTATATTTTTCTCATAATCACCTAGGAATTCAATTCTGAACTTCCTCCTTTCTTTCCCAAATCCCTTGGAATTCATCTCAGACTTTCTTAAGACTTTATTTAAAAAATATTTGGTCACGAACTGCTCATTTGCTAATAACTTTGCACACAGATGACGAAACATAGTTTTTTAAGCAGTCGATAGAATAGAGTTTAAGCTTGTTATAGATACGTAAAAAAAGATTTTAATTCTAATAATAAACTGTATTTGTCTTTGTGTTGTAAAAATGAAGTGAGAAATGCTCGCTGCACATCTTGGACTTTAGGTGTAAAAATTCATTGGTGTTGATTCAAATGTTAAGATTTACCTACTCTTTGCATATCTGTAGTAAACTATGATCCTAATCTATCAATTTCTTTAAAGAAAAACCAATTTCAACAACTGAGGGTAAAGTTATTAACAAATGAACAGTTCGTGTATACAACTGTGCATGCCAAGCAATAATTTCCCATTTTCCTTCTCAGCATTTATTTAATTCAGCGTTTCTCAATTCATGGGTCGCGAGTTCGCGACCCACTGGTGTTTTGCAGACTGTCCGTAGGTTGGTCGCAGCACTAGATTTAAAATTTTATTGTTTTTATTTTATTTTACTTAAGAATCATGGCAACATATAATTTTATAATAATTAATCAATCGGAATCAATTATGACCAGGCTTGGGTATTGATTTTGTAATATCGTTTTAATTTCCTTACTTAACAAGTGTTATCAAGATTATTGGCCATATTAGGGCTTTTAGGGTTAAACTGCCCATTATTAGGTGATTTTAGGTATTTTTGGCATACATAAGATCAGTTTTTATTATTTTTAAATTTCAGTGATTTCAGAATATTTTGCCATTTTAAAATCGGTTTTGTTATATATATGCCAACTTTGGTGATTTAGGGCTCTTCTGGCGATTCTAGGCTATTATGGCTAGCGATTCTAGGTCATGATTCAACGCTTTTTTGGAGATTTTCATTTTGGCGATCAGGAATTGGCGTTCCAGAATGGCCCAAATTGTTGATATTTTCGTGTTTTTGATTGATTTGATATCTCTATTCGTCCAGCATTCGTCATTTTTAATTGTTCTCTCCATCTTCCGGCATTTTAGCGCCATTTTGTTAGTTTTAAAATCTAATTCTATTTGTTTGGTGATTTCATGTTGTTTTGGAGTTTTCAGACAATTTTGACGTTATAATGGTGAAAGTTATGAACTGGGTTGCTAGTGGAAATCTCATAAGAGCAAAACAAAAAGGTGATTATTTTCCAATTAATTCCACTTTGCATTTCGATTCAGGGGTTTTAAGGGTATTCGTGAACGTATAAATGAACGCTTATTCATATGTAGCATAGCAAAATGGGAAATTTCTGACCCATTTTGAGCTACTAAATGTATTGCTTAGGGTGGCGGTCATACTCCGTCTTCCCCTAGACATACATTTCATATGCAGTTGTAAATTATCGAACTACTTTCATGGTTCAATGTTCACCATTCGAACAAACAAGTTGCACAAGCTCCATCTCTGCATTCGCATTCTACAGATAACACAATTTTCGCTCTACCTTAATGCAATGCAATTACAGTCCGATGAACTTTCGCCCAGTTTCCCACGGCAACCGTCCAGTCGTTCAACAACCTCTTTCTACACACTTTCAGCCTTCCAATCCTACTAAGGAGCGAGCAAGTCTGTGTCGTGCTTGTGTCATTTAACTCGTTCAGTGCAAACCCCATTCATATTGCTACATCATTCTCCAAGAGCAATTGTGGCACCATGCTGCTGCAGCTACAGAATCGTACCAGCTAGTTGCAGCAATATGCTGTACCTTGCCATATTTTTCATAGTACCGCTAACCGGTTTATGAGTTTAGTACCTTCCGGCACGTGCTCCGTATCCACTACCTGTTGATAAATACCCATTCGATGAATGACAGTCCTAGACTACTCATAGTATACCGTGCTGACCGCAGACGTAAATCAATACTAATCATGTCCTTTCTCTCCTTCCGTTTTTGCAGATTCGAGCTACGTGGATTACTAGCAATATGGAATACATTACTAGCAATGTTCAGTATAATGGGTGCCTGCCGGACAGCGCCAGAACTGGTACACGTGCTGAGGCATTACGGTCTCTTCCACTCCGTGTGTGTTCCTAGGTAAGTCAAAGTCCGTTGAGTCAGACAGCATTATATCTTATCAACGAGACAGCTGATAATCCGCGAAAAAATAATTGGAAACATCTGCTGTATTATCACGCCGGCACCTTGTGCACTCATTTTATATTGGGCACTTTCCACAATCTACGAAACGCTGTAAAGAATATAAATGCCAAATCTAGACAAAACCAAAGGAACAAAGGATTGCATGTTTTGATAGAAGCTAAATTTCTTCACCCGCCAAATTATCGATCACTGTCGCTGTGCACCTGAGCAGTGCGTGCGTCATGCGAGAACTTACGACTTGAACGGACTTCAATTGCATTGGAGTATCATCTGAAATGCATTAGACGTATTGTAACAATGACAGGTAACGTGACAATCGTTGAATAAACAGCCGGTGCCACGTGTGATTCAACAAACGGTTTCGTTTATTTATCGAAATAAAGAATAGTACATATTTGTGTACAAGCGTCATCAATTGACGATTTGTTGGTAATGATTGGAAGTGAGCATGTTTGTTTTGATTCATGATTCAAGGGTCGACTAATATCATCTGTAAAGGCTCAGCTACAAAGCGAGACCATGCTGGAGGTGGCTGGCTTCGATTCCCGGTCCAGTCTAAAAAAAATCGGGTTGGAAATTTTCTCGACTTCTCTGGGCATTGAGTATATGATTGTACTTGCCACACAATTATATTAATGCAAAAATGGTACAGGCATCGAAAGCTCTCAATTAATAACTACGGAAATGCATTTAGAACTAAGTTGAGAGCACGCAATAAGCTTAAATGCGAGCCAGAAGAAGAATTCTCGGATAACCGGGATTGTTGTTGGGTGAAATAGCAAAAAATGTAGTGTTGTGGCATCCGAATTCCATTTTGCTCCATGCTTTCTTTTATTATGGCAAGCAGTCAGAAAGAGAGAGGAACTTTTACTCAGATGAAGAAAATATTTCTAAAAAGGTAGGTTACTCAGAACCATCTAGAAATTCATCTCAGATTTTTTTTTCTATGACTTTATTACGTCTCCACTGAAACTTTATGCCGGCTCTCAACTTAGTGTTCTTTGAGCACTTGCATAGTTTCTGATGGAAGACTGCACATTGTAGTCTAAATACGTATCTATCATGGATACCAACATTAATTAAGTGGAATTAAATGGAAGATAACCTTTTTTGCTGTTTTACAACTCATTTTGATTTCAATTGTCGCGACATAAGTCTAATATCATATTATGCTCTCATTATGCAGTCAAGAGTTTTTTTAAATGAAAGCAATTTAACTTCAAGTTCTGCTGTTACCGTCGTGAAAATTTAATTAAGAATCTATCGTTGGTGTCATTTATTTGTTTTATTTGACACATTTTAGATCATTCGTAACTTGTCCGTGCTGAAAATCTCTTTAAAAAAACTATAAAAATAAAAAAAAATAAAAACAAAAAAAACTTGTCCGGGGAGAGATTTGAACTCAAGTCTTTTAGCGTGAGAAGCATGAATACTAACCATTCACGCCAAGTCCATTTTTAGTTGAATATTATAATTTCAGTAATTCAATTGATTTAATTGAAAGTAGGATTAGTTTTCCGTTTGATTAAACAGTGTAAAATTTTGCTCTCATTTTTGTTGTGTTAACCGTTAAGTCTGTGATTGCCTCGCACCCCAAAAAGCCTGGGTTCAATGCCAGTCGGCGCCCCCGGGATTTTCTGAGGCATAAAATCTCTGATCACGCCTTCCTTCGGAAGGGAAGTAAAGCCGTTGGTCCCCGGTCTGTGAGTTGTTAGGTCGATAAGTGGTAGGGTCCAGGTGTGGGAGCTGCCTCCCTGGCGTCGGTAGCATTGGTACTCATCACGGAAAATAAGATAGACGGAAAACAAATCAAGGAAAAAAAACCGTTAAATCAACCAAAATTATATCAACTGCAGTATTCAAAATAAGTTTTATCATAACAGCAAATTTTGATTACAATTTGATCTCCATCTTCTCTCGGGGAAGCATACATGTTCAGGAAAGTTGAGAAATTTTCGAACCCAAAAAATTCCTAGACCAGACCTCGAATCGAACCCAGCCACCTCCAGCATGGTTTTGCTTTATAGCTGCACCTTTACCGACTGCGCTAAGGGAGGCCTCACGGCTTCATTTCGAGCAATATCATTTTCGTGTAAGTTATCATGTTTCTTGTTATCGAGCTCCTAAAAAGGTAGGTTCCTCTTTTCAAACATGACTGGACTATCACTTGTTTCGTTCGTCAAGTGCTTCAGTTCATTTCATTTGAAGCATAGACTTGTTTCAATTGACGCAATGAATGACTCGAAAACTGCTTCCTTCTTTTTTCCACTTTCACTTCAATTCGGGGCTCATTCGACTTGTCACGACCTGACGACGCAGGCATCAAACTATAATATCCGGATAGTATCCACACAATATCGGTTGCCGATAGGGATGGCATCCGGATTATATGTAGTAATAATATATTATTTTATATTAAACGAAAATTAAATTAACGAGGCCATTCTGGAGTCCAAGATGGCAGCCATCGGGGTCATAGAAAGTTTCAAATACCCTACAATACGGGTATTTTCGGAACGGGGACGACGCGAAGGTGCCGAAAATCGATATTCAACGTTATTTTGGAATCCAATATGGCGGCCATCAGGATTCAGAAAGTATCAACTATCCTACAATATGGGTATTTTCGGAACGGGGATGCCGACAATCGATATTCGACGCCATTTTGGAATCCAAGATGGTGGCCATCGAGCTTCATAAAACGTGTCAAATACCCTAAGATATGGGTATTTTCGGAACGGAGACAACGCATGGCTGCCGAAAATCGATATCCGATGATATGTTGGACTCGGCCATAAGGTTTTAGACAAAGTGTCAAATACGCGTAGATGCCAAAAAACGATATCAGATACCACTTTGGAATCCAATATGGCGGCCATCAGGGTTCAGAAAGTGTCAAACACCCTACAATATGGGTGTTTTCGGAATGGGGACAACGTGTGAATGCCGAAAATCGATATCCGATGCCATTTTTGAATCCAATATGGCGGCCATCGGGTTTCACAAAAAGAGTCAAACACCCTAAGATCTGGGTATTTTCGGAACGAGGACGACGCGTAGATGCTGAAAATCGATATTCGATGCCATTTGTAGGTTATTTGACACTTCTTCTGGAATCGGAAGCCACCATCTGGAATTTCAAGATGGCGTCGGACATCGATTTCTTTCTTCTGATGTCAGCCCGATTCCAAAAAACCCACATTGATCGGTATTTGACAGTATTTCACAGTTTTTCTGAACCAAAGCCGCCATCATGGATTTAAAGACGGCATGACATCAATTTTTGGATCTACGTCTTATTCCCATTCAGGAAATAACCATATTTTAGGATATTTGACACATTTCCGCACATCGGAAACCGCCGCCTTGGTTTACAAAATGGCGTCGGATATCGATTTCCGGCTTCTATACGTTACCCTGATTCTAAAAAAAATTGTTTGTATGGGTATTTGATAGAATTTAAAACTTTTTCTCAAACCGGAAGCCGCTATCATGGATTTCCAAATTGGTGTCGGTTATTGATTTCCAATCTCCAGACGTCACCCCGATTCCAAAAATACCCATATTGATGGGACGGCATCAGTATTTCCCATTTTTTCTGAAATAGGAAGCCGCCATATTGGATTTAAAAATGGCGTCGGATATCGATTTACAAAAATACCTATATTGATGGGTATTTGACAGTATTTCCCACTTAATCTAAAATCGGAAGCCGCCATCATAGATTTCGAAATAGCGTCGCATATCAATATTCGATATGTAGACTTCATACCGATTACAAAAATACTAATATTGATGTGTATTTGACTGTATTTCCACTTTTTCGTAAATCGGAAGCCACCGATTTCAAAATGGCGTTGGATATCGATTTTCATCGTCTAGACATCATCACGATTCCCAAAATACTTTTATTGATAAGTATTTGACAGCATTTCCCACTTTTTCTTAAACTGGAAGCCGACATTTTTATTTCAAAATGGCGTAGCATATCAATTTTCGATCTCTAGACGTCACCCAGATTAAAAAAAAATACACATATTGATGGGTAAATGTACCAACAATGATAAATTTGACATCCACGTGCACAGATCTATGCGCACAAGCAACAAAAGTCATATAAACTGCACGAATTTGGATCGAACAGCTTCGCTTCAATGCAAAAGTAAGTTGATTTGACAATGAAAGAAGAAATGAATACGAGTCAAGCCAAAACAAACAGCATGAAAACTGATCGAAAGTGGTTCAGTTGATGTTGACGGGGATCTGCTCGAAGAGAAGACAGAATGGGTTTCAATTGAAAGTGATGGTTAACAGCTTCATTGTCACTTGACGATTTTTCGATTGAAAGTGACTTTTTGGGGCCATGCTCACGACTATCACTCACTTAGTTGTCCTGAATATCGGTCCTATCCTGGTGCATATTTAGTACTGACTTGTTGACTGGATACACAGAAACTAGCCCGGGCAACGCCTAAATGTATGTATCTTCCAGGTGTACATCGATGATCAACCAAAGATTTTCATTCATTTTAAAAACTTCTACGGATTGGCTCTGCGTAAAACTTTGCAAAAATCAAGTTTAATGATTATTTGAACTAACTCTTTGATTATTTTGGTGGTGACGTGTTAAATTATGCTTCGAAAATGACCAATTTCCCATATAGTTTTGTATGGCGTTCTTACCTTTATTTCCCAAGGAAAAAAAAAAACACATTTCCACTACGTACATGATGCATTTTTTTTTCTTTCTTAGGCTCATATTGTGACATCATAATGCAGCTTCTAAACACACTTTTTAAAGTGTCCTTATATTAATTTCCACCAGTGTATTCGACACTTTTATTAATTGCCAATGCCACATGACCTACATGGCAGGAATATCCTTTGTTTATCCAACCGAGAAAAAAAATAAGATGAGCAAATATAAACACTCT